GAGTATGTGATGCATGCTCATCCTGGCTGATCACTATCATCTTCTTAGTTTCGTCTCAAGATGCTCTTGATTTTTTTTTCAAATCTTAAAAGTGAGTCCATAGAGTTCGTTGATGTCGAATTTGATTCTTGCATTGCTCAATAGTGAACTTTAATAAAAATTTTCTTTCAATTTTTGGGTGGCAACTTGATAGACAGACTCTTTAACTACTTTTGGTCACTTCACATATTTGCATCTATGTAATCACTCATAATTTGTAGTAATCCAACTATCCACTCTAATTTTAAGCTCCATAAAATATTTTTTCCTTTTAGGTTTAGGACCAGATTTAATATTTGTTTGTGATTGATCTATTAGCCCTAACCATATCAAATATCATTATAAATTTGCATTTGTAAAGGATTGATGCACTATCCAATTATCAGCAATCTGACAAATATGCCAAATCACTGTGACTATCCAATTATGCAATATGTAACATCTAAGAACAATGTAAATTTGTATTTGTAAAGGAAAGTAAGGTTCACATTATATTATTTTAAAATATTTTTTTCAATGAACTGACGACATACTTAACAGTTGTGCGTAATGAAGTGTGTCAATGATTAAAAAGTTTCTTACAGGTTGCTTGTCAATTGAACCTATACTCTTTCATGTTGTTTCTTGTTGCACGATATGGGGTAATAAAACCTTTTTGTGTGGAGTAGCCACCATCAACTAGATAATATTTATCTATGATGTTGATTTTAAATTATTGGGATGTCTCAAATAATTGTTGAAGCCAAAATGTAAGTTAGCCATTGTATCTTTTGGGACACGTAAATCGTATGATCTCTCTAAGGTATTTTTAAGAACAAATTTCAACTAGCGAGAAGATATGTGAACATCAAATCAAAGTTAACTATTGCTAGCACATTTTGTATTGGGTTTGGTTTGCGTCCTCTAAATGCAGAATCGATCTCCTTAAGAACTTTACAATGATACTATCAAAAGTTTCAAATACATCACATCTCTCTCACATGAAAAGGAGCATAATCCCCAACTTTCTGGCTCCCGTATTTCCCGCGAAACCTAGCTCCTACAGTGTTCTTCTGCCTGCGATGTTCCCTCTCGCGATGCTTTGGCCCGTGATGTTCCTTCCCACGACCATCTTGCCCGTGAGAGTCAGTCTTTCTCGCACGGACATCAGGACGTGACCTTGCTTGTTCCCTCTATCACGTGAACTGTAGTCGGATAGGTAACAGGATTTTTATTTGTACAAGATTTATGAAATTTCTGAAGAAACCTGCTTCATTTTGGGATTTTTATAGTTTCGGATAGAGATAAGATGAATGTCTTTGCTTTAGATTTTTGTTTTCCTAGGAGATAAGTAGGAGGATAGCTTGGAAATTTTTTATGCCAGAAGTAGCTCATATGGAAGATAATATAGTGAGAAATAGAAGCTCAATCCTCATATTTAAAATTGATAGTAATATTAAAAATGAAAATTTTGAAAATTATTATGTTTTACAGGTTTTTTGTAAATTTGATAAAATTCTTACTTGTCTTGCATTTTAATAGATTAAGTTCTGGAAAGATTCTGAACATAGCAATTTACAAAATAAATGAAGAAAATTTAGCCAAACAAAAATAGTCAGTGAGCAGTTTATAAAATTTTGAAAGAAAAATTACACCTAAAGCATCGTAGCATCTTTGAGAAATATCTGTTCTATGTCGTTTCTTGGAAGAACTTTGCTGACAAATTTTGATAGAAAAGAAATTTTAACCACTTCTATGCTCTAATTGATAAATTATATATATATATATATATATATATATATATATTTTATGTAAGTTATTCTGATAATTTATATGATTTAACTGGGTTGGTTGGTCGGTTCATGAGCTGAACTAACCTGATCTAGAACCATTGTCCAACTTAGAAACTCAGTTAAGGTTTCTTTGGTTAAAGAAATGTTTTATTTTTTTATGTTAATTATTGGTTGTTATTTATATTAGGACGTACTTATTAGATGCCTTACAATCTTACATTGATAAATTTAGAATTAAAGTTTTTTTTTTTTTGTGGTTATTGTTTATTGGTTGGCCAATCATAGAGTGGCTTTTATGTTTATATCAATTTTAGTAATAAAGCCACATCCTAACTTAGATTTCACTGTTGCTAGCTACAAAGATGGATGAACAATTGCAAGACAATGAGGATTGATTATCCAATTTGGATAAGTATTGAAATGTCACAGTACTAGATGAAACACAAAATCATTTTGCCATATCGACAGTGATGGTTGTTGCATTAAGTATTATATGCATTTACTACAAGAGGTTGGCAGAGAAAGAAAAAAGTATAATCCTCAACGAAATATACAACATCAAACATATCTTTTTAGGTTATATGAGGGATGTTATTTTGATTGTGTTGACATGGTACACCTGAAGAGAAAGCATTTCTTCAAATTATGTAACTTAATGTGCTCACAAAGATCGTTGGTAGACAGACACATTCAATGTTTGGATTGAGGAATAATTTGCTTTGTTATTACATACATTCAGGCATAGTATTTGTAATTAAGTTATTTGATATAACTTTCAACTCTTCTTAATATTGTTAGTAGGCATTTTAGAGCCGTGTTATATTCTGTAGTTGAATTACATCATGAATTTATTAAGCCTCCTCTTCTCGAAAATTCATGTACTATCCAATCATGTAATAGGTTCATATTGTTTTTCTAGGTATAATCTCATATTTTTGTGATCTTTTTAATGTACTTTATATTAAAATTAGGTTGTGTTGGAGTGTTGGCACTATAGATGGAACACACATCAAAGCTAGGGATCCTAAGGATAATGAATTCACATTTAGAAGACACAAATCATACCCACCACAAAATGTGTTAGTAGCAGTTGATTTTGATTTGAGGTTCACATATGTTCTCGCTAGTTGGAAAGGTTCATATTATGATGCAACCAACACAATCTTAAAAATGCCTTTAAATGATTAGATAGTTTAAGGTGTCTTAGAAGATACAATGAATAACGTACATTTTGACTTTTACAATTATTTATGAGACATCCCAATGATCTAAAATCAGCATCGCAGGAAACATTATCTACTAGATAGTGTCTACTCTATATGAAAAGATTTTATTGTCCTATATCGTGCAATAAGGTACCACTTGAAGGAATTTAGGTCCATTCGATCGGCAAATTATAAGGAATTTTTTATCTTCAACACTCGTCATTACACCCAACTATTGAGCGTGATTTTGGTTCTTTGAAGAACCATTTTACTGTTATAAAATGTAAACCTTACTTTCCTTTATAAATGCAACTTGACATTATTTTTAGCTATTAATGTTGCATAAATGGATAGTCACAATAGTTGGTGATAATTGTATTCCTTTTAGGATGAATTGGTGAGGAGAATTCACTATAAAAGGAGATTGCATGCACTTGTATATGATTCCTGAGAATGACGAGATAAAAGAGATGAAATTTCGCAAGCAATGTGTAATCCCACAAAATGATGGCTACTAGTTCTTTTTTGTGAATGACCCTCTTTTCTTAATTTTTTGGTGGCAAACTGTGATATATTTTAAGTTTATTAAGAATGATTTTTTGATCTTATGTCTTGGCATAAATAATATTTTTTTTTATTCTCTTGTATATTTCTTGTTTTTGTTTTGTAATGATATTTTGTTATTTTTAGGGTTAATGGATTCATCATCAATAAATATTGCATATAGTTTAAGACCTAAGAGGAGAAACTATTTTTATGGAACTTAAAATCAAAGTGGATAGTTGTATTACTACAATTTTTGACTGAATATGTAGATGCAAATATGCAAAGTGCTTAAGGATTTAAAAAAAAATTATCAATGTATCGCCAAAAAATTGAAAGAAAATTTTGGAATAAAGGTCACAACTGAGCAATACAAGTATCAAATTCGACATCAACGAACTCTATGAACTCACATTCAGGATTTGAAAAAAAAAATCAGCGGTATTTTGTGACGAAATTACGAAGATGATAGTGATGAGCTAGGCTGAGTATGCATTACATATTCATGTATTAGTTTTATTGCATCTTTAAATAATAATATGGTGCTAACATTGTATAGTTTATTATGTTACAGGCTTTTCCAAAGTATGTTTCTTATTTAAATATTTCAATTGCAAATTATGTGGAGTTGGAGAATGTATGTGGTGAAGGACATACTATTGGAGAGCGGGCTAAATATGGAAATTCTTAAACTCCACATGGAAATCAGCAAATATATTTAGAAGATGATGAGCCCTCAGGATTTATGAATGCTGGTGTAGATGCATCGTTGTATAGTGATTGACCTAATGTGTAAATTAAAGAGAATTTCATAGGAACGATAAAGAGACTATTATCTTTCTTAATCATAGGAGGTGTCACAATAGAAAAGAGTAAGATACCTGCTATTGATCGAAAGCATTCGTGAGTATTTTATTTTGATGGTTGATAGTATTACTCAAGTTACTAATGCTATTTAGAGCACAATAAGAGCCTCACAGGAAAGAAAAATGTTTATTGAACTTATGACTAAACTATCAAGTATTATTGGCTTTTATGAAGAAGAGATTTATATGGTGTACAATAACTTATAAAGAAACCTACAATGATATAATCTTTTCTTTCAAAACCTATAGATTCGAAGGCTAAATGGATGATGTCAAAAGAGCTAGAAAAAATGATTTAAGTTTTGGTGTATTTGGACTTTTATTGTGCTAAATATATAACCAATTTTTAGTTGTAATGACTTCAAATATATTTTAGAATTATGATACATTAAATGTTGAGGATATTGTAGCGTATTATTAATTTTATTCTGGATATGATTATTCATTTAAATGATTGAAGTGTGGTAAAAATAAGTAGCTATTTGGCATGTCTAGTTTCTAATTTCATATATTCTAATGTATATAAGCTTCACATTGTTGAAATAATAATTATTATATGTTCTATTAAATTTCAGCCTCTCATTGTCATGTTAATCCCACGGCTACAAGGAGAGATTTGTGGGAAGCCCGCCTTAATCACGTTGAACACCTTCCGTAGATGTGCAACTGATTTAGGAAGAGTTATGTTTCATTATTCTATAGTTATTTGTTTTCTTATTAAACATCTTGTATAGATCTATAATAAGGATCATATTTTATAATAAAATTCAAATTTTTCTTCTCCAATTCTCTAAATTCGACATGGTATCAGAGATTTGAAGGAAATTAAGAGGAAATCATCAGACTTCGAGAAGGATGGAACCGGAGCCTAGCAGGACGAAGCCTTACTGGATGGAGGCTGAAGCCAGAGTCGTCGAAACCTCGAGAAGAACAGAGCCGGAGTCGTGCGAAGACGAAGCCAGGTGAGCCCCTTGCTTATAGAAACCTCCGCATACGAAGTCGAGGGAAGCTCCTGCGAAGACGAAGCCCATTCCGGATGAAGCCAGATGAGGCCCTTAAGTGCGGAAGCCTTTGACGAAGCTCGTTCCGAGAGAACCTCCGCATCCGCGATAGAACCTCTGCTCACGGAAGAAGACACTGAAGCTCTCTGTAACCTTTGCAAACACACTTCTCAACTCACGAAAAGGGGCCTACTATTTAAGCTGCTCAATCTGATCTATCGGGTTCGAACTGGCAACCTGATCAGGCTTGAGACTTGATTAAAACCCAATTTATTTGATATCATCCATTATTGATGATTTAATCAGCCTTTATTGCTGATATAATTAAATCAGCTTTTATTGTTGTTATAATACTGCAATGTCTGAAGAAAATTCATCCCAGAGCTTTAATCAAATTGAAGATTCTATGATACACCAAGAACGAGGTGATCTCCAAAGCATGCAACCTTCCTATCGCCTAAATGGGAAAAACTATCGAAAGTGATCTCAATTTGTTAAGACCTATTTTAAAGGGGAAAGGAAAAATACAACACCTCCTCAGAGGAGGACCAAAAGGAGGAGATCCTATTTTTTGTGCATGGGATGAAGCGGACTCCATGATTATGTCATGTTTATGGAATTCCATGTCTCCAAAAATTAGTGATACATTTATGTTTCTTTCAATTGTAAAGGATATATGGGATGCTGCAAGACAAACTTTCTCAAAAGCTCAGGATGCTGCTCAAATCTTTGAGATTAAAATTAAGGTGGGAAGCACAAAACATGGAAACAAGATGGTGACAGAGTATGTCACACTTCTACAAAACCTATAGAAAGAACTTGATCACTACAGAGTCATAAGGACCAGATGTTTAGAAGATACTACTATCCTAAAGAGCTTTATTGAAAAAGATAGAGTTTATGATTTTTTTTTTTGCAGGACTAAATGTAAAATTTGATCAAGGGTCCATATCTTTGGCAAAGAGGAGACACCATCACTAAATGAAACAATTGCTCTCATACGTGCTAAAGAAAGCCGACGAGGAGTAATGTTGGAACTAAAGGTTATTAAAATTTTAGGAATGGTGATGAACAGAGACGCACTATAGAAGGAAAAAGATAAATACCCCACAAAATTTAAAGATAGAGCTCACTTTGGTGCAGTTTTTATAGAAAGTCAAGACACACAAAAGAGACGTGCTGAAAATACATGGAAAGCCCCCCAATAAGGAGTGGAATCAAAGAAGTGAAAAAGGAAGCACACCACATGCCAATAATACAACTAGTCAGGCTAACTCATAAACACAACATAGCTTCAATAAAGAGGATATTGAGAAAATAAAACAACTCTTGGTATCCCTTGAAAAATCAAACGCATCTTCCTCTCTTGCACTTTCAAGTAAGTTTCCTTTTTTCCACTGGTTTAAGTGCCTCTCTAGAAATCGTTTAAAAGGATTATGGATCATTGACTCAGGAGCAATGGATCACATGACACATTTCTCTACTAACTTCATCAACTATACTCTTTGCCTAGGTGATAAGAAAATCATCATTGCTGATGGTTCTCTTGCCATAGTAGAAGGCCAAGGAGACATACCCTTATCCCCTTCCCTTACTCTAAAAAATATGCTCCATGTACCTCAATTATTCACAAATCTCATATCTATATAAAAACTTACAAGTGATCATAATTGTCAAGCACTTTTTAACCCTATATGTTACTGATTTCAGGACCAAGGATCGGGAAAAAAGATTGGACTTGTTAAGGAAAGAGTTGTACTGTACTGCCTGGAAGAGCTGGACAAATCTAAAATTACTATATATTATCCCTAGTTGACAAGCAATTCACCATTTGGCTTCATCATTATAGATTAGGATATCCATCTTTTGATATCCTAAAACATATGTATCCAAATCTTTTTCAGAAATTAGAATATTAACATTTTTATTGTGAAACTTGTGGGTTAGCCAAACATAAAAGAGTTTTTTTTTTCAAATAAAAATAAGTGATGTGATACTCCATTCTATTCTTTAAACACTTAGACTCAGGGGGAGTCACGATATTATTAGTGTATGTGGATGATATTATCTTGACTGAAAATAACGAAGAAGAGAAAGTTGGTTTAAGAAAAATTCTTACCAAGAAATTTGACATTAAAGAACTTGGTAGACTAAAATATTTTCTCAGAATTGAAGTGGACCACTTTAGCAAATGAATCTTCATTTCACAACAAAAATAAATTAAAAATCTTCTGAAGGAAATAGGTAAATTAGCTTGTAAATTTGCACCAACACTAGTAAAACCAAATATTAAACTGGGCGAAGCTAAAAAAGATCTAGATGTAGATAAAAGGGCTTACCAAAGACTTGTAGGGAAATTGATCTACCTTTCCCACACTAGATCAGATATAGCTTTTCTTGTAAGCATGATCAGTTAGTTTATGCATAATCCAAAGTAGGTTCATATGCAAGAGGTAGACGAGATACTACACTACCTTAAAGGAAACCCAGGGAAATGGATTCTCTTTAGAAGAGATCACAAAATAACCATACACTGATGCTGATTATATGGGATCACCAGTATATAAAAGATCTAACTCTGGATATTGAACATTTCTTGGAGGGAACCTAGTTATATGGAGAAGCAAGAAATAGAATGTGGTGGCAAGATTTAGTGCATAAGCAGAATATAGTACTATGGCCTTAGGAATATGTGAGTTACTATTGATCAAGATGATTCTAGAAGATCTAAGGATTAAGTGGGACAATCCCATAAAGTTGCGTTGTGACAACAAATCAACAATCAGCATAGCCCACAATCTAGTTCAGCATGACAAGACCAAACACATACAACTAGATCAACATTTTATTAAAGAGAAATTAGACAATGTTCTAATCTGTATCAATCATGTACCATCAAAAGATCAACTCGCAAATATCCTCATCAAAATAGTGGACAGCTCTGCCTTTCTCTGAATGGTTGCTAAGCTGGAAATGATAGATCCATATTCCCCAGCTTGTGGGGGAGTGTTAAATCTTAGCATTTCATTGTTATGTTAATCCCACGGCTACAAGGAGTGATCCGTGGGAAGCCCGCCTTAATCACATTGAACACTTTCCATAAATGTGCAACTAATTTAGGAAGAGTTATATTTCATAATTATGTAGTTATTTGTTTCCTTATTAAACATCTTCTATATATCTATAAATAGGGATCATATTGTATAAAAAAATTCAAGCTATTCCTCTCCAATTCTCTAAATTTGACATGTTCAAACATTGAAAGGTATTGTTGCCATTACACTATAATGATATATTGTACTTGATATTGCACATTATGCTAAAAGTATTAAAGTATTCAAAATGCATTGCATTTACTTTACTCGGCATATATCTAATCTAACAAAAATTAGTTCTCTTGCATTTACTTTGAGGACAACAAAATAGCCCCAAAGTATTCTAAATACACTGCATTTATTTTATATTGTATTCAGAATACACTGCATTCTTTTTTCATGCAATCAAACAACCCCTAAAACTAGGTATAAAGTTTATCAAATTGAAAACATAATATTTCTAATTTATTTGTTTTTTATTCCATTAAGAAAGATGTTACTTTCTCGAATTTTCTCTCTTTTTCTGTTTTGCTCTCCAACTCCACAAGCCTTTTTAAAGCAAGTGCTCTTTCTAATCTGATCCCTTTAGGGTAGCTGTATTTTTTCGTAAAGGCAATTGTAAGGCTATTAGATGCATGCTTCCTAATTCACTGGTAAAAAAGGAGAGGACAGAGAGACCTTTCCTTTCTTACTGGTGCACGCATGCACATGCTTCTGTTGACAAACTTGTGTTTTCAACAACTGGAAAATGGTACATAAAAGCACATTGAATTGGAAAATGGCACAGAAAAGCACATATAATATGGTCTGCTTTCTTTTTAATGTTGTTGTGTCCAGCTGATGTTGTTCTATGCTGTACTTGCAAACATAATATCCTCATGTTTACTCTTTGTTTGAGGTATTGTCAGATGTGTAAGTTTAATGGAAAACTTTTTGACTCTGTCCTTTACTGACTATGTGTTATTTGGTTTCAGCCTGTTCATAAGTGGATGGTTCGCCATATGTATTTCCCTTGCATAAGAAATGGTCTGCCAAAGGTGAAGTTTTGTTAAATGTAATCTGTAGGCATCTTACGGGCACACTTAGAATTTCAGGTCACTCTTATCTTTCTCTAAAATGTTGTTAGTACCATAGTCTTTATGTATGAGAAGATGATAATATTCTTTTCATGCGGGTTAGTGCCAAAAGAAAAAGTTGGGTGGGTAAAGAGTTGGCTTTCATGAATTTTTTTTCTATTTTATTTTCATTCAAATCTTTGAGCTTTAAGGTTTTCTCTTTTTTTTTTTTTTTTCTCAGGGAGCTGCAAGCGTAGTTTCTTTTTTTGTTTCTGCAGTATTTCATGAGGTATGCTGAGGTTAATTTATAATTTTTTAATTGTGTTTTGGTCAATGTTTTTATACTTCAGTTACATCCTTTGTTTGTGTTTTTTTAATTGCGTTTTATGTAGAGATATGCCTGTGCCAACAATATTATAAAAGATTAATTCTCTTTAGACTCCAGAAGGACAAATTAATAATCTTTTAGGGTCACCAAAATTTATATGTTTTTTGGGTCCCCCCCCCCCCCCGATTTTGTTATTGTCCTGCATTTAAGGATTTAAATAGTCTAATAATGATATTTTTGTTGACCCCTGATAACAAATTTTATACGGTATTATTTAATGGATTGTTTTAGTCTAATCATTTCCAACAATGATGATGATGATTTGTCTTGTTTTTTGACGTTTGATCGAAAATGAGTTCAAATCCACCCTATGAGTTGTTTGCAACCAAGAACCTCATCACGAGAAATTCAAGCAATAATAAGTTGAGCTCAAATGAATAAATATAAAATATAATGAACATGAGCGATGAAAGAATTAATGAACCAACTTCAAAACAAAATTTTGATTTTTCATGTGCGGCTCGTTTGCACACCTAACTTCATATCTCCAAATATTTGGTTGAAAACTTGAATTTTATTATCTTAATAAATAGTAAAAAAATGGCATTATGATTAATGTGTTCATTAAATGTCAAATAAGTCCCCAGACAAGTTTGAGGGTCTCTCTGCATAGGCAAATACGATCTGCCTTTACTACCTATACAGAATGAAATCATGTAAACTGAAAAAAAAGGGGAGAGCACTTCTTGTGAAAATTAGTTACCGATGTAAAAAGAGCTGTTCCTTCCTAATTTAGCTTAGCTAGTAGTCTCATTCACCTATGCTTTTAAGCTGGGGTGGGATCAGTTATCAAATTGACCCAACCTTTTCCATCTCCCTCCAGCTCTGGCTGGTTTTTTTATATTTACTGCCTGGTTGTTTTAATCTTACTTTAACACTCATTGTAACGAAAAAGATAAAATTTTAGCTTAGTAGGCTCTAGAAATGGAAGCATTGAGTCTGGAGGGACTGTTTTATTATTTAATCAATTATATGACTGTCATAACAATAATTTACAAATAATATACTAAAACACCTCATGCATTGTTATACTGTTGATTGGAGACTGACTTTCCAAGGAAGACATTACAGTTTTGCAAAGTTCTAATTGGGGAAATCACAAAGATTTGCCATCCAATAACTCCAATCAGTAATCTAGGTTTGTGTTTTAATTTTTGTCCATATGGTTGCGTAAGAATGAATATGAAATATCAAAAGAGAAATTGCAAGATCGCAATGATTTTAGGTGATTCAGAAATCAATCCTCCTACATCAATGGCCACATGGACTTTTTGCTCAGTGATACGATGACAGATGACACCATTTAAATACGAGCTTAGGGTGGTCATAAAAAAATAGAATTGTACATTCCAGATATTCTCACATAAGATGCCTTTGAATATTTTATATTATAAGAATATTTCATAATATTTTTTGAGTAAAAACTCAAAATAGTTCTCAGATTATTAATAAATGTCCAATTTAGTTCAAGATTTTAATAATGGCCTAATCTAGTCCTCCAACTATCAAAAAATATCCTCCCCGTTAAATGTTACCGTCAAATTAGTGAAAAAAGCTGCAAGGTTGGCTTTGTCGTTAATTTTTTAGAAAAAAATAATTTCTTATCATTCCCAATATCTCTTGCTATAATCCCCCATACCACAATAATCCCTGGAGATAGAACGCAGAAGAGCGAGACTTGCTACTATGAGGGAGGTAACGTGCTTCTATACACTATAGATTGTTGACCTGCCAAATATATATATAAAAAAAAAAGAAAATCAAAATTGCTTACCTGCTCTGCCCCTCCCACGCCGCACGTCGCGCGCGACCTCCTCCCACGTCGCACGATCTCTACCTCGAGCGAATCTCATTCGCGTCGTTAAAAGGGAGAGGGAGGCAAGGTCTTCGGCTGCTGGTTCCCTCTCTCCCTCACACGTGCTACTTCGACTCCGTCATGCTGTTCGATTACGCTGCTTCGACGACCTGCCTTGCTGATCGGATCGGAAGTTACGATAGTTTGATCGGAAGGAAGAAGGGAGCTTACTCGTTGAGAAGATAGCCATCTATCTTCCTTTCGTGCGCTTCTCCCTCTCCACTCCTCCGTCGACTTTCCTTTCCTGTCGGGTTGGAAGTTACGACATTTCAAGCGGAAGCAACGACCGAAGCTCGCTAACCGTGAAGATAACTTTCCCCTATCGCTTATTTCTTTGGCCCGTCCTTGTTGTCTGACTCCGCTCCTTCCACGATTCCCTTCCTGAAGGATCGGAAGTTACACATTTTGTTCCAAAGCAACAATAGGAGCTCACTGCCGTGAAGCTTAACTTTCTCCCTTTGGTGTGCTCCCTCGGCTTAATCCATTAATCTACCGAACCAAGGGATTTAAAATAAATTTTATATAAGATAATTTTAATTATAATTATATTAATTAATTATAATTAATTAATTATTATTATTTTAATTAATTGGTGAGTGACCCCTCGGCTCCAAAATATTATCCTCGGTGTGTGTGACGAGTCGGTCAACCACCTATACACACTTTTCTTAGCGTGGTAGGAGGGAACTCGGTGCGACGCATGCGGTGAGGCAGGTAAGTCTGGTGCACACTTTTCTTAGCATGGCCGGGACAATTTTTAAGTACCCGTATGCGGCTCTGTACCTGCGGGGAAATAACTGTTTTTCTTGTAAGAGGTACCGAAGACCCATACATGCTTTTTTTAGCGTGGTGGGGATAAAGAATTTACAGTCGCGATGTCCTCGTACGAGGGCACCTACCGTACATGCTTTTCTCTAGCATAGCGGGAGGCCGAGTTTTCTGTAGTTTTCCCCTAAACGGGGGAGACGCTAGAAGGTTGCCGAAATTTCGAGTGAATATACTACCACACTCGGACCTGATTTGAACTCAAAAGAATAAGAACTTGGACTCAAATGAGCATGAACAACGGACTTATGAACTTGAAACTGAGCATTACTCAAATGAATTCAATTCAAACTTGAACAAAATATATTAAGAATTTGGAATTTAACATGATAACAAGGAACTCAAACTAGAACAAGATGCGGACAATAAGAATTTGTGGACTTAGATGTGACATAGTGCATACGCACTAGACTTGCAGGAGACTCATGACGAACAAGATCTCGATGCATACAAGCAATGAACAATAGTCAATTCACAGTATCTGAACAATCACAAGCAAACCTCAATTATCAAAACTTATGAACGCATGAGACAAAATACATAATGGTTAATATTGATGAATGTAGCATACTCTTACAACAGTCCCTACAAATTTAATGCACTGTACTTATAAACAACAAGAGACAGTTGCAAAGTGCACGAGTACTACCCACATGCAGCAATCAAAGACCCACCACACAAACAATAGCTACCATGTAGATTGAGAGGGTGATGTTGGCAATTGCTGAATAAAAACTCCAAGGCATACGGATGATAAATGATTATCAAAATGAGCGACTACAAACGAGGATAATCATCTATACCTGAATATATGATAGTATGATACACAACAAATGATGTTGATAGGTACAGTGGACTCCTACGACAATCCTTACAATTTTGCATGTAGATTGAGATGACAATATTGTCAATTGATTGTGGAAGATTTGTCCCTGCAAACAAGTACGTCAAACCACCTGAGATTAGTGAAAGATGGATAGGATATAAGAATAATTGCTTTTCTACATGAGGTCGTAGCAGATACAATGGGTCCCTGCAAATAAATACAATCATCAAACCACCTGAGATTGGTGAAAGGTGGATAGGATGCAGGAGTAATGGCTCTCCTACGAACATTTATAGGAGGTCGTAGCGAATACAACGGGTTCCTGTAAATGAACACGAGACACTTGTGGAACAACAATGGGTACATCGTAAGTACAACGAACCCTTGTGGACATAAGTACAGATGTCACCTACGCCAACGATGATTAAGATCTACGAGTACGTCGGGTACGAGGGCAACTCAATGTATGGAGGACTCTCTAACAGAAAAAAATGAATGTTTGAACAAATTAGAACTAAACTTCCTAGTGTTCTAAAGTTTCTTCTTGGTCATATCCTTAGGAAGAAAATAGCTCTGGTATTCACAGACTCCGAAAATAACAAGTCTACTACACGAAAGATCCTGAAAGGAATTCTTCTCAAGGCAGTGATCACGAATTTCAAGAAGGATCTCCCGATGAATGAGAAAAGGGAGTTTACATCAGAACAATAAAGTATCTCATTGCAATCAGGTGATAATGCTATGATTCACCTGTATCTAAAAGCAGGAGATTAGTTAGTGCACTACAATCTACTTGCATAAATCATACAAGTAGTGCGCGACAGTCTACCTGTATGAAGTAGCAAACAACTCAACTCAAAAGCTGCTACTCCGCCACCGGATCCGCAACATTCATGCTAGCGGACAGAAGATGTTTACTAATATTCCTAAAATGTCCCATGCACATGCACCTTAATATGTATGCACATAGGTACACATAAGGGGTAATTACAATCAAACACCCACATGGGCTTCGGCGAGCGTGTTGTAGGAACACACGTGACGTCTAGGGATGCTGCGCAGATCAATAAATTTGAACCCGATCATCCTAAGCAGTTAGATAGGAGTCGACAAGGTTCAACAAATAATTATAAAATGTCCCCAAACACCCGCATGGGCCCCGACGAGCGTGTTATAAGTATATACATGACGTTTAGGGATGCTGTGCGGGTCAATAAGTGAATTCAAGCTCAAACCTGATCATCCTATGCAGATCAATAGGAGTCAACAGGGTTCGAACCTTCAAATAAATACACGGTTGTGGCAATCAGTGTATTTGTTTTAATACATTCATATTAGGCCTTCAAGGCTTATAGTCAAGAGAATTCATTAATAAAGACATAAAGCCTACGAAACCTGATCCTCCTAAGTAGGGAAATAGAAGTAGACAGGGTTCGAACCATCAGATAAATATGCGGTCACGAAGTTGAGCTGAATATTTATTTTATATATTCATATTAGACCTTCAAGGCCTTTAACAAAGAAAATTCACAAACAAAGGCATGAAACCCGAGAAATTCGATTCTCTGTTGACAACTCAACAGAGTTGATAAGGTTCATCAACAAAATGGAAATATTTTCAAATGAAAATGATGTAGACAAAGGGGGGGTCAACACTAGTCCAAAATAAATCATATTTTGGCTTCCCTTGAGTCTAGTAGTTAGTGTTTGTGTCCTTTTGTATTCCCCTTTCATACCTATAAATATGAGGGGTTATGTAATGTTTTGAATAGTTGAATGATATTTGATTTTTGGAAAAAATTAGTTAACCTGCGGGTTGCTCGGAAATCCTGCGGGCTTTTTCCAACCTTCTTTTCTCATCCCCTCCGGAAATCCTGCGGGCTCTTTCCACCCTTTCTTCTCGGGCTTCTAATCTCTTCGTCTCTCCACAAGTGTCACTCCACCTGTATCCTTCTTCTCAAAGTGCAGCAACTTTAGGGTGTCTGTCGTGTTGTTTGTAAGTCGTCGTTGTAATTTCTTTTGTTTAATTTTATTTGAAATATAACAGTTTGTTCTTCCCTTTTGTTGATTTTCTAGTCCCTTTTCTCGTCCTTAGTCTATTTCGTCTTTAGAAGTCCGTCGTGTCTTTTGTGGGCGAAGGGTATAAGCTCCATATATCTTTTGTCCGCATCAGAAAATGACCCCAAACACCCCGATGATGGCCGTGTTGAACGAAGATCTTAACCGGAGGGGTTCACAAATATTTTCAAACGCCACTTAAATGCACAAAAATTCCAAAATCTCAAAGATCATGCAAATTCCAAATATTTAAAATTGAAATTAAACCATAAATCATTTAAAGCAAAAATATATCTACCTTCCGCAACAATTTGTCATGGTGAACAAATTAAAATTCACTTCAGCTCACATAGAGCTAATGCCTAGTCGAAAATATCACTAGGATTAATTCTCAAACAATCTCCTGCCAGTAAGAACGTGGTACGTGTCCGCTGACCGGCGATTTTGCTGTCAAATGGCACTGCAAGATAAATGGTTATGACCCGGGGCCCTCTGAACTGAGTGATTTTGCTGCCAAATGGCAACATAAAATACCGGTTATGGCCGGAGTCAATACGTTCCTTAGTAGCGTCAAATCATTGAGATATGAATCAATAGGATATGATTGATAGGGCACAAAGCCCTCTGTTAGCTAAGGTGGATTCAAATTTGTCCCCTTAGACAAATATTCACCCCAGGTCTACAAGGTTCCCTTGGACAAAGCAACCCATGGCTGCCGACTAAGATCATTATATCAGGTTGGGTCGACTACCTTCTCTGACTAAGTAGACCAGGGATCACGATGGCCTGGAAAGACGGAACCATGGGATCTTGATCAGATCTATCATTCATTCCCCCACTATTCGCTTTAAGTGTAAGATGGTGAAATTTTCAATTTTAAATATCAAACTTTCCAAATTCCCAAATTCAAATCTATGCTGCTACTATATGCCGGAAATCATGTATCTACGGATATGATGTATCTGATTGACGACTAGCCTTAATCAAAAGTTCTATCTCGTTATCGGGAGGGGTAATTACTATAGGGGCTTGCGCATATAGGAAACCAGAACTCATATCATAAAGTCCTCGCAAAATGAGGGCGAAATCTCTGGGTAGTGTCTTATCTACAAACTCATCTGTCTTCCAAAATTTACCCCTGAACCTAATTCGTTAAAACTCCCCCCGAAAAGAAAAGCAAAAAGTCTGGTGGAAGCCGGGGCTAAATTTTTAGAGCCCACATAGATGAAGACTGCAAGTGAGATGAGTTTTTGTTGCGAGCTATATGATGACTTTGACATCTGGAGACCGCGAGTGAGATGACAAGATATCGACATGGAAGCTACGTGCTGGCGACATGTGGTGAGCGACCACAACGACAAAAATTTGCAAGGTATAATCCCATGGAGACGGAACCGCTTGCAAGGCAACGTGCTGACGCGCTCGAAATCCGAAGATGGAGATCGCGAGCAATATCCACAAGGAGTCGGAGAAATGATTAATGCTAGGTTTGTTTGCCTTCATATGATTTTCTTCTTTTTCTTCTTAAGAACTATTTACTTAACAAGATAAAAATAATTTGTACTTAGGAAATATTTGTTCAGGAAGATAAATTTTCGTGGTAATGAAATTCCTATTTGATTTTATATTGGAAATGATAATATCTTTTGTAGAAATGGTTTTGGAGTTTTGAAAGATCTTTCATTTAGATTTTGCTGAAAAAATTTATCTTCTTTACTAATTATTCACTATTATTATTTAGTAGATTAATTTTTATTTTGATTTTTATATTTATTATAATTTATTGAATGATAAAATATAATAACATAAGCAATGCAATCTTACATTCCTTTGCATTACCTATATGTTTAACTTTTGATGTTAAGTTTAACGGTTATTTTAAATTCCTGAACTAAATTTGATCAATTTTTAATAATTGTGGGACTAAATTGGGGCAGTGTGAAACTTTGGGACCAAATTGAATGCTTGTTAATAATCAGTGGACCATTTTGGACATTTTCTCTATTTTTCAATTAGTGCTCATCCCCAGATCATCCTGTGCATGGAATAAGTCAGCAATTGAGTTCAGACTTAGAAACCTTTAAGACAAAGTAGATTATTGAGACCTAAGTGAAGATTAAAGCTTAAAACATCGCAGTGAACTTAGATGAACTTTGACTCATCCGATTGGGGCCGGGTCAAGATCGAATACTTCTTTTCATTATAAGTTTAGCTTGTGCCTTCTATGACTTTTCTATGAATTGTTGTGTTCCGGACTTTTCAGTTTTCATATATATCTTTTTAATTCATCTTTTGTTTCTTGAATTGAACAGTTATGCGTTGGTGTGCCATGCCATATTTTTACTTTGTGGGCTTTCATGGGGATAATGCTTCAGGTATATCTCCATCTGCCTTACATGGTGCCTTACATGATGCATGGGAAGATGCCTTATAACTACTTTTCCTTCCTCTACACACTTTTTTATTTTGATTTTTCATGAAAAATGCATGATGTAATTGACATTTATTTCATTCGATTAAACTAAAAGTGTACGAGCAACTTTGTCAATTTTATGCCATTCTCCAAAAAGAATGGTCAGAAAGAATAAGGCTTCGTTTGTGATTATTTTTTTATTGCTTTTTAAAACAGAGTTTTAGTACAAATTAAAAATTTTGTACTAAAATTTTGTTTTAAGAAACAATAAAAAAATCATCCCAATCGAAGCCTAATAAAAAGGGTATTCTGAGGTTATACCATTTTATTTACCTGTATTTGGTTTGCCTTTGCTTTTCAAGTCATTCTTATGCTTTCTAAAGTGTGACAAACTTTATTTTTCCTGGCCATGCCTATATGCAACTGCCACCATTTTTCTGATAAATATTAATTTCATTGTTTAAATTATTAGCTATACTGATGCATATCAATTTATTACCACGAGCCATAGGAACTTATATGTAATATTTATACTTAAAATTTCATCCTTATTGTGAGGCCCCATGCAATGGGCCCTCCTTTTTATGAAAATTCCCTTGCATGAACACCTTTTGTTTATGAGACTGGAGATCCATTATTAGCACATGACTCGGCAGATTTTGTCATCACGTCACATAAGATACGAGTGATCTGCAATTAGAGAGATAGATCAGCTCTCCCAAACAACATGGATGCAGCTAGAAAGCCCTCAAAGAAAAGAACTAATGCGGAAAACCAAAAACACACATAATGACAATAATCCTCGTGACTAGCCCTACATAAGCTCTCCTAATACTCTGTCAATTTATGGCCCTTGGTTCACAACGTAAATGCTAATGCTACTCATTGTTTCTTTTTTGCAATATAATCATGCAGTATTTTTTTCTGTTTCGTTTTGTTATCGAGCCGAATGTCATATGATCGTTTTGCATAATCATTCAAACTTGAAAGTGAGATAATCAAGCAATTCTTCATATCACAGATTCTTCTGGCTAATAACTTGGTATCTTTTAAACTGTCTGAGCTTGAGCGAGCTTAGTCAAGAAACATGATATTATTGACTTGTTCATTGAAACTTCTCTTTATCATTCCAACAGGTTCCCATGAGTACGTTGACACGGTACCTCCAAGATAAATTCAAAAGTTCGATGGTGCGTACTTTTATTGCACAGCGCAGAGCTCATCTGGTTTTTTGAAGAGAATATATTTGGAAAATTTTTATTTTATTTTTACTAATTTTATGACTGAAAAAGAAACAATTACATTTAAGGAGGTTTTGAAGGGGTTGTGAAGTATAAAATTAATGTTGAATTCTAACTGCATTTAACCAAATGATGGATCTAATAAATTTCACGAGTTTTCAAATGATATTTTATTTCTTTTCAATCAACCAAAGGAGTCCTTATGTAAAATTATGTCAACGGTATTTTCACAAGTGTACATTATGAAAAGAATGATTGGACATATTCTTTATTACCATTCATAGCTGAAGCGCACCTTTAATTGGCCTGGTCATGTGTTATGCCTAACCAATCTTGCATTGCTAATATGCAAAGAGAAAAACTGTTTGCATGAATGCCTGGTACATTTTTTACTAGAATGTCGTATAAAGGTGAATGCTACTTCAAGTAGCTGCTAACTGAATCCACGGCAGCCCATTATTATTTTTGTCCACTCCTTTTTCCATTTTTTATGATTATTTTGAAGTAAAAAAATAATATCAGCTTTAAGGCCATATCTTTTTGCTTTAGTTATGGATTTTCTTATTAGACATTTGCAAGAGGATGTGCCCTAGTGTATGCTTTTTGTTGATGATATTCTTCCTGTTGATAAGATTAGAGAGGGAGTTGAAGGAAAACTTTAATTATAGAGGTAAAACTTAGAGTCTAAGTTTTAGTAGTGATAGATCTAGTGGTGGGATTGTGACATTGAGTAATCAAGTCATTAAAAAATAGTACGTTTTAGATATTTTGGATGTATTATTCAAAGAGATGGTGAAGTAGATGGGGATATTATTTGTAGAATTCAAGTTGGATTGGTGAATAGGAATGCATCGGGCCTGTTGAGTGATAGAAAAGTGCCTCTCAAACTTAAGGGAAAGTTCTCTAAGATGATGGTGAGACCTACAATGTTTTATGGCACATAATATTTGCCATTAAAAAGAAGCATAAAATTAAGTGTTGTAGAGATGAGGATGCTCAGGTGGGTGAGTGGCTTAACAGTTAGAGACATAATATGAAACGGGTATAAGCATGAAAAAGTTTGAGTAGCTCTAGTGGCATATAAGATTAAAGAGAGTCGCCTAAGATGGTTTGGTCACATAAAATGTCGACCTTCTGATTACGCGATTATGAGAGTAGATGTATTAGATCCGACCTATGTTAAGGTAGAGATAGACCCAAAAAATCTTGGTTAGAAAGTATGAGAAATGATTTTTTTTTTTAATTTAAATTTAAATGAGAATTTGATTCTTAATATGATACAATAGAGAAAAAGATTCATGTACCTGACCCCATGTAACCCTAAGGAGGGTCCAACATTGGTTGAGCTTGTTGGGATGACGAGAGGTCTCCAATAGAAAATCAAACCAACAAGTGAAGTAGTTTAGCTTTGAGGTGAGAAGTAATGTTTAAAGATAAATGGTGCTTACATAAAATTTCAGGGACCAACAAGAAATTATTATTTTTAGTTTATTTAAAAACCCTTAGGGTCCATAAAATGATTTCAAAACTTAAAAGGGAGAGATTGCCCACTACTTCTGATCCACCATGTGTTTTCTAAGAGTAACGTGAATGATTAAAAATATATTGTCAATAGAGAAGAGAGAATGAGGAACAATCATGCTTTTTTCATTCAATAATCAATAATATTCCCTATATAAGATTGGTGCATTTTATACGAACTACATTTAAAAATACAAGTAATAAAAAAGAATTAACATGTCCTCATTATATCATTACATAATTAACATGTCCTCATTATATCATTACATAAAGCAAGCACGTAAACAACATGACAAAGCCCTAGTCCTGGTGCGCTCTCTACGTATCTATCAATATGACTTATGGCGGTCTTGCTTCTCTGTTGGTCCAAAGCTCATGATCAGATCTAGAGAACAGTCTTTTGCTTCGTTTGGGAAGGTTTTCTTATTACTTCGTAAACTAGCTATCTAGTATAAAAATTAAAATTTATATACTAGAAAATCGCTTTAAGAAGCAATAAAAAAGCCGTCCCAAACGAAGCCTTTATGTAACACTTATATACTTTCCATTCTCCTTTTCTTCATTGTTTCATCTCTAATTTATGGCATTGCATGCTCACTTTCATATGATAAAATCTCAAATTTCTATGCACTGAATTCATGTTTACCCTGCCCAGGTGGGAAATATGATCTTCTGGTTTTTCTTCTGCATCTTTGGTCAGCCAATGTGCGTTCTCCTCTACTACCATGAGATGATGAACAGAAATATTATAACTCAGTAAATTCATCGCCTGAAAGTAAAGCAATCATCTTCCTATGTTGTATACGCCAAGCATGGTAAAATTCATTTTATGTTGAATTGTAATCTGAGTATTTTCTGTGTGATTTAGGCTATTGCTTGGTGAAATAAAACACAAGTATAAACTTGGTGAAGAGCATCTCGAAAGAGGATTGTTTGTAGTATAAGCTGCTTGATTACCATATAATACAGATGCTAAACCTTTCGCTGTGTTTTCGACTATAGAAGTCTTCAATTTGGTTACTTTTAGCTGTCACTGCTGTTCAAATCCAACGCAATTGCACCACTGACTTTGTTTCTAAGTATTTATCTGTGAACTTGCAATTCCATGAAAAAGAGTGTGCAACTGTGAACCTCCCATAATTTTGTTGTAATCCATTAATATCAATTATTTTTCTTACGCTTTAATGTGCAGGAGTGAATGAAGATGAGAATGAGGATTTGATAGTCTTCCCAGATGTTTGGGATAAGGCTAACAATAAGTAGTGGTGTCAATTTCCGGCCACAGGTCTTGCTCGTGCTGAACACGGAATTGACCCGGCACTATTCGGGTCAACTCGACCCGACCTGTTTTTGCAAATGACAAAAATGGGTTGGTTTATCAAACCCGAACCAACCCGCTTTGGGTTTGGGTCAACCCGACACGACCCGAACGACCTAGTGCCGATAAAAAATTGTTAGTTTTCTTGTCAAAAAATGGGTTAATATCCGATTTTTGGGTTAAAACGGGTCAATCTCAAGTTATTGGGTCTAAAAATAGGTTTTTGAGTCAAAACGGGTCAATTTCAGGTCAAATGGTCAACCCTAATTCGACTCGATTTTTAAAATGGGTCAAATTGTTGAACCCGAACCCGACCCATTTTGGGTCTAGGATGACCCTAACTCGAAATTTTTGGTTTGAATTCGAGTCGGGTTTTTGGGCCGTGTCAAATATTCACACCTCTAATAATAAGGTATTTTAATGTGCGAGAAATTATTACATCCGGTCAAAAATCGAACGGTCCGAATGTGTACCGAGAAATACCGAGTTTTAGGTGACGTGACGTGTGGTTATTGGTCTCTGAACGCATTCGGACACCGGGTGTAATATTGCTCTTAATGTGCTGGGTTTGTTTATGTGCGCCAATTGAAGAGTTGATTTCAATTTTTTTTTTATTTTTCATACCTGAAATGTCTGGAAATTTCAGTAAACCTTTAGTTAAATGAATTTACTTCATTGAATTCAATTAAAATGGTAATTCTCTTCATTCTTTAAAAAAAAAAAAAAAAGAAAGATAAATGTATGTACAACTTCCTCATCTTTATCTACACAATAAGTGCCAAATGTACTTGCAAAAGCTCATAAATTCAGGCTTAAGTTTCAAAAAAATCAATGAAGAAATGTGACTTATGAGCACAATGAAACTAAGGACGTCTTACCATGCAACATTTACTTAAGTTGCTGCACTCATAAAAAGAGTTTAAATAGAAATTTATTGAGGATCAATCAAAATTAAGGTGCCTCTGAGTTTGAATATAAATATTCTTAAGAATAACATTTCTATTGAAAGAAACATCAGAGTGTTAGCATAACTCTAATGAAGGAGAAATAAATAATAAAATGCAAGTTTTGTGATAAAGTGTGATCATATGATGATTTGTGTCATGAAATTTATGTTAATAGAGGTTGAAAATCATGGATTTATTTGCATGAGATCTTGTGCACTCATAAGAACTCTTTAAGTGTTTTAATATAAAAATTTCATAGGGGAAAGAGTCATAAGACCTTGCCCCAATTAGGAAATAGGTCCACCAGTCTCATCAAGGATAATCTTTAAACTCATATTTTTTTTTGCTTTAGTCATGGATGTTCATATTAGACATTTGCAAGAGGATGTGCATTTGTGTATGCTTTTTGCTTATGATACTCTTCTTGTTGATATCATTAGAGAGGCCGCCAATGAAACTTTTAAATTATGAAGGTTAATCTTAGAGTCTAAATGTTACATTTGAGTAGACCTAAAATTGTTAACCTTGTTCAATTTTAATAGTAATAGATTTATTGTTGGATTGTGACATTGGATGATCAAGTCATTAAGAATAGTGCATGTTTTAAATATCTCAGGTTTATTGTTCAAAGCGATGATGAAATAGATGTGAATATTATAAGTTGGATGGTTGAAATTGATGAATGCATCGGGCTTGTTGTGTGATAGAAAAGTATCCCTCAAACTTAAGAACAAAATTTATAAGATTGTGGTGAGACTCTCAATGTTAGATGTTGTAGAATATTGGCCATTAAAAGGGTTGCATAAAATTAGAGATGAGAACGCTTAGGTGGATGAGTAGTTTTACACTTAGAGACGGAATATTAAACGATTATACATATGAAAAGATTGAAGTAGCTCTAGTGACATATAAGATTATAGAGTTGACTTAGATGGTTTGGTAATATAAAATGCTAACCTCCCGATAACCCTATTAGGAGAGTAAATGTATTATATTCATTGTTTTTTAAGAAAGGTAAAGGTAGAACTGAAAAGACATGGTTATAAAGTAATAAAACTGATCTCTTTTTTAATTAAATTTGAATGAGAAATGAACTCTTAATATGGCACAATGTAGAAAAAGGATTCATGAAGCTTATCTTATGTAATGGGATAAATGCTTTTTGTTGTTGTCATTATTTTTGTTGTTGTGTAGTGTAATCTTGAGGTTATAAAAGTCTCCCATTTGCAATTAGAGGAATCTAAGAATATAATACAAAAACTTTTGTTTGAGATTATCATGTGATATAGTAGTAGGAGATGGAGGCATGAATGAAGAAAGGATTGGTGGAAAATATTAATGAAGGGAAATGACTAATGTTTTGTGCAAAGCGATAATTTTGGTTAGTGGGTCAGCAGTTGTCAAGCTACGAATTTTTTGAATCATTGAAAAAACTAAGGCCATCATCACAAGTTAGAGATCAATCAACTGATATTGAGAGATTATAGAAATCAAGTGATGTTAGTCTCTCTCTCTCTCTCTCATATTAGAAAAGGTGTAAAGCCTATTAAGTAAAAAGTTAGGAAGATAGTGGTGTGGAACCAGGAATACCTGCAGAAAACACAAGAAAAATAGAGGATTCTAGCAAGGAAGAGGAAGAATCAGAGGGTTAGCATTTAGAAAGAAAGAAGAAGAAGAATAAGGAGGCGAAGAAAGAACGAAGTAGGGGTTTGATACTTTTAGATTTCTGTAATTCAATTCTAATCTTCTCTATAGTGCTCCTTCTCCTATCTATACTGGTAATAACTTTGCTAAAAGAAAATAAAACCATACTAAGCATAATCTGCTAAAAACAGAAAAAGGTAATAGGCGGTAGTGGAGCCTGTAGGTTCGTTAGGGAAAACGCATGTGGTAGTCTGCTGGACTAGGATAGACCACATCAGGTCTCCCCCCTTCGAGAGATTCCTCGCCTGAGGAAGAAACTTGAGCAATGCCGGCATCTGCTGACTTGTAGGTGACAATGTCAACAACATTGAATGTGGCTGGT